GAGCACACTTCTGATGAAGAGGAATTGACTACTGTTACTTACACTTCCACCGACTCTGAAGGTAATGTCACCACTGGTGTTACTACTTACCCAGTTCATAACACTTCCGATGAAGAGGAATTGACTACTGCTACTTACACTTCCACCGACTCTGAAGGTAATGTCACCACTGGTGTTACTACTTACCCAGTTCATAACGCTTCTGATGAAGAGGAATTGACTACTGCAACTTACACTTCCACCGACTCTGAAGGTAATGTCACCACTGGTGTTACTACTTACCCAGTTGAGCACACTTCCGATGAAGAGGAACTAACTACTGCTACTTACACTTCCACCGACTCTGAAGGTAATGTCACCACTGGTGTTACTACTTACCCAGTTGAGCACACTTCCGATGAAGAGGAATTGACTACTGCTACTTACACTTCCACCGACTCTGAAGGTAATGTCACCACTGGTGTTACTACTTACCCAGTTGAGCACACTTCCGATGAAGAGGAATTGACTACTGCTACTTACACTTCCACCGACTCTGAAGGTAATGTCACCACTGGTGTTACTACTTACCCAGTTGAGCACACTTCCGATGAAGAGGAATTGACTACTGCTACTTACACTTCCACCGACTCTGAAGGTAATGTCACCACTGGTGTTACTACTTACCCAGTTGAGCACACTTCTGATGAAGAGGAATTGACTACTGCTACTTACACTTCCACCGACTCTGAAGGTAATGTCACCACTGGTGTTACTACTTACCCAGTTCATAACACTTCCGATGAAGAGGAATTGACTACTGCTACTTACACTTCCACCGACTCTGAAGGTAATGTCACCACTGGTGTTACTACTTACCCAGTTCATAACGCTTCTGATGAAGAGGAATTGACTACTGCAACTTACACTTCCACCGACTCTGAAGGTAATGTCACCACTGGTGTTACTACTTACCCAGTTCAGCACACTTCCGATGAAGAGGAACTAACTACTGCTACTTACACTTCCACCGACTCTGAAGGTAATGTCACCACTGGTGTTACTACTTACCCAGTTGAGCACACTTCCGATGAAGAGGAATTGACTACTGCTACTTACACTTCCACCGACTCTGAAGGTAATGTCACCACTGGTGTTACTACTTACCCAGTTCATAACATTTCCGATGGAGAGGAATTGACTACTGCTACTTACACTTCCACCGACTCTGAAGGTAATGTCACCACTGGTGTTACTACTTACCCAGTTGAGCACACTTCCGATGAAGAGGAATTGACTACTGCTACTTACACTTCCACCGACTCTGAAGGTAATGTCACCACTGGTGTTACTACTTACCCAGTTGAGCACACTTCAGATGAAGAGGAATTGACTACTGCTACTTACACTTCCACCGACTCTGAAGGTAATGTCACCACTGGTGTTACTACTTACCCAGTTGAGCACACTTCCGATGAAGAGGAATTGACTACTGCTACTTACACTTCCACCGACTCTGAAGGTAATGTCACCACTGGTGTTACTACTTACCCAGTTGAGCACACTTCAGATGAAGAGGAATTGACTACTGCTACTTACACTTCCACCGACTCTGAAGGTAATGTCACCACTGGTGTTACTACTTACCCAGTTGAGCACACTTCTGATGAAGAGGAACTAACTACTGCTACTTACACTTCCACCGACTCTGAAGGTAATGTCACCACTGGTGTTACTACTTACCCAGTTGAGCACACTTCAGATGAAGAGGAATTGACTACTGCTACTTACACTTCCACCGACTCTGAAGGTAATGTCACCACTGGTGTTACTACTTACCCAGTTGAGCACACTTCAGATGAAGAGGAACTAACTACTGCTACTTACACTTCCACCGACTCTGAAGGTAATGTCACCACTGGTGTTACTACTTACCCAGTTCATAACACTTCCGATGAAGAGGAATTGACTACTGCTACTTACACTTCCACCGACTCTGAAGGTAATGTCACCACTGGTGTTACTACTTACCCAGTTCATAACACTTCCGATGAAGAGGAATTGACTACTGCTACTTACACTTCCACCGACTCTGAAGGTAATGTCACCACTGGTGTTACTACTTACCCAGTTCATAACACTTCCGATGAAGAGGAATTGAGTACTGCTACTTACACTTCCACCGACTCTGAAGGTAATGTCACCACTGGTGTTACTACTTACCCAGTTGAGCACACTTCTGATGAAGAGGAATTGACTACTGTTACTTACACTTCCACCGACTCTGAAGGTAATGTCACCACTGGTGTTACTACTTACCCAGTTCATAACACTTCCGATGAAGAGGAATTGACTACTGCTACTTACACTTCCACCGACTCTGAAGGTAATGTCACCACTGGTGTTACTACTTACCCAGTTGAGCACACTTCAGATGAAGAGGAACTAACTACTGCTACTTACACTTCCACCGACTCTGAAGGTAATGTCACCACTGGTGTTACTACTTACCCAGTTCAGCACACTTCCGATGAAGAGGAATTGACTACTGCTACTTACACTTCCACCGACTCTGAAGGTAATGTCACCACTGGTGTTACTACTTACCCAGTTCATAACACTTCCGATGAAGAGGAATTGAGTACTGCTACTTACACTTCCACCGACTCTGAAGGTAATGTCACCACTGGTGTTACTACTTACCCAGTTGAGCACACTTCTGATGAAGAGGAATTGACTACTGTTACTTACACTTCCACCGACTCTGAAGGTAATGTCACCACTGGTGTTACTACTTACCCAGTTCATAACACTTCCGATGAAGAGGAATTGACTACTGCTACTTACACTTCCACCGACTCTGAAGGTAATGTCACCACTGGTGTTACTACTTACCCAGTTGAGCACACTTCAGATGAAGAGGAACTAACTACTGCTACTTACACTTCCACCGACTCTGAAGGTAATGTCACCACTGGTGTTACTACTTACCCAGTTGAGCACACTTCCGATGAAGAGGAACTAACTACTGCTACTTACACTTCCACCGACTCTGAAGGTAATGTTACCACTGGTGTTACTACTTACCCAGTTGAGCACACTTCTGATGAAGAGGAACTAACTACTGCTACTTACACTTCCACCGACTCTGAAGGTAATGTCACCACTGGTGTTACTACTTACCCAGTTCATAACGCTTCCGATGAAGAGGAATTGACTACTGCTACTTACACTTCCACCGACTCTGAAGGTAATGTCACCACTGGTGTTACTACTTACCCAGTTCAGCACACTTCCGATGAAGAGGAATTGACTACTGCTACTTACACTTCCACCGACTCTGAAGGTAATGTCACCACTGGTGTTACTACTTACCCAGTTGAGCACACTTCAGATGAAGAGGAATTGACTACTGCTACTTACACTTCCACCGACTCTGAAGGTAATGTCACCACTGGTGTTACTACTTACCCAGTTGAGCACACTTCAGATGAAGAGGAACTAACTACTGCTACTTACACTTCCACCGACTCTGAAGGTAATGTCACCACTGGTGTTACTACTTACCCAGTTCAGCACACTTCCGATGAAGAGGAATTGACTACTGCTACTTACACTTCCACCGACTCTGAAGGTAATGTCACCACTGGTGTTACTACTTACCCAGTTGAGCACACTTCCGATGAAGAGGAACTAACTACTGCAACTTACACTTCCACCGACTCTGAAGGTAATGTCACCACTGGTGTTACTACTTACCCAGTTCATAACACTTCCGATGAAGAGGAATTGATTACTGCTACTTACACTTCCACCGACTCTGAAGGTAATGTCACCACTGGTGTTACTACTTACCCAGTTCATAACGCTTCCGATGAAGAGGAATTGACTACTGCTACTTACACTTCCACCGACTCTGAAGGTAATGTCACCACTGGTGTTACTACTTACCCAGTTCATAACACTTCCGATGAAGAGGAATTGACTACTGCTACTTACACTTCCACCGACTCTGAAGGTAATGTCACCACTGGTGTTACTACTTACCCAGTTGAGCACACTTCCGATGAAGAGGAACTAACTACTGCTACTTACACTTCCACCGACTCTGAAGGTAATGTCACCACTGGTGTTACTACTTACCCAGTTGAGCACACTTCAGATGAAGAGGAACTAACTACTGCTACTTACACTTCCACCGACTCTGAAGGTAATGTCACCACTGGTGTTACTACTTACCCAGTTCAGCACACTTCCGATGAAGAGGAATTGACTACTGCTACTTACACTTCCACCGACTCTGAAGGTAATGTCACCACTGGTGTTACTACTTACCCAGTTCATAACACTTCCGATGAAGAGGAATTGAGTACTGCTACTTACACTTCCACCGACTCTGAAGGTAATGTCACCACTGGTGTTACTACTTACCCAGTTGAGCACACTTCTGATGAAGAGGAATTGACTACTGTTACTTACACTTCCACCGACTCTGAAGGTAATGTCACCACTGGTGTTACTACTTACCCAGTTCATAACACTTCCGATGAAGAGGAATTGACTACTGCTACTTACACTTCCACCGACTCTGAAGGTAATGTCACCACTGGTGTTACTACTTACCCAGTTGAGCACACTTCAGATGAAGAGGAACTAACTACTGCTACTTACACTTCCACCGACTCTGAAGGTAATGTCACCACTGGTGTTACTACTTACCCAGTTGAGCACACTTCCGATGAAGAGGAACTAACTACTGCTACTTACACTTCCACCGACTCTGAAGGTAATGTCACCACTGGTGTTACTACTTACCCAGTTGAGCACACTTCAGATGAAGAGGAACTAACTACTGCTACTTACACTTCCACCGACTCTGAAGGTAATGTCACCACTGGTGTTACTACTTACCCAGTTGAGCACACTTCCGATGAAGAGGAATTGACTACTGCTACTTACACTTCCACCGACTCTGAAGGTAATGTCACCACTGGTGTTACTACTTACCCAGTTGAGCACACTTCAGATGAAGAGGAATTAACTACTGCTACTTACACTTCCACCGACTCTGAAGGTAATGTCACCACTGGTGTTACTACTTACCCAGTTGAGCACACTTCCGATGAAGAGGAACTAACTACTGCAACTTACACTTCCACCGACTCTGAAGGTAATGTCACCACTGGTGTTACTACTTACCCAGTTCATAACACTTCCGATGAAGAGGAATTGACTACTGCTACTTACACTTCCACCGACTCTGAAGGTAATGTCACCACTGGTGTTACTACTTACCCAGTTGAGCACACTTCTGATGAAGAGGAATTGACTACTGCTACTTACACTTCCACCGACTCTGAAGGTAATGTCACCACTGGTGTTACTACTTACCCAGTTGAGCACACTTCTGATGAAGAGGAACTAACTACTGCTACTTACACTTCCACCGACTCTGAAGGTAATGTCACCACTGGTGTTACTACTTACCCAGTTGAGCACACTTCAGATGAAGAGGAACTAACTACTGCTACTTACACTTCCACCGACTCTGAAGGTAATGTCACCACTGGTGTTACTACTTACCCAGTTCATAACACTTCCGATGAAGAGGAATTGACTACTGCTACTTACACTTCCACCGACTCTGAAGGTAATGTCACCACTGGTGTTACTACTTACCCAGTTGAGCACACTTCAGATGAAGAGGAACTAACTACTGCTACTTACACTTCCACCGACTCTGAAGGTAATGTCACCACTGGTGTTACTACTTACCCAGTTGAGCACACTTCAGATGAAGAGGAACTAACTACTGCTACTTACACTTCCACCGACTCTGAAGGTAATGTCACCACTGGTGTTACTACTTACCCAGTTGAGCACACTTCTGATGAAGAGGAATTGACTACTGCTACTTACACTTCCACCGACTCTGAAGGTAATGTCACCACTGGTGTTACTACTTACCCAGTTGAGCACACTTCAGATGAAGAGGAACTAACTACTGCTACTTACACTTCCACCGACTCTGAAGGTAATGTCACCACTGGTGTTACTACTTACCCAGTTGAGCACACTTCCGATGAAGAGGAATTGACTACTGCTACTTACACTTCCACCGACTCTGAAGGTAATGTCACCACTGGTGTTACTACTTACCCAGTTCATAACGCTTCCGATGAAGAGGAATTGACTACTGCTACTTACACTTCCACCGACTCTGAAGGTAATGTCACCACTGGTGTTACTACTTACCCAGTTCATAACACTTCCGATGAAGAGGAATTGACTACTGCTACTTACACTTCCACCGACTCTGAAGGTAATGTCACCACTGGTGTTACTACTTACCCAGTTGAGCACACTTCTGATGAAGAGGAATTGACTACTGCTACTTACACTTCCACCGACTCTGAAGGTAATGTCACCACTGGTGTTACTACTTACCCAGTTGAGCACACTTCTGATGAAGAGGAACTAACTACTGCTACTTACACTTCCACCGACTCTGAAGGTAATGTCACCACTGGTGTTACTACTTACCCAGTTGAGCACACTTCTGATGAAGAGGAACTAACTACTGTTACTTACACTTCCACCGACTCTGAAGGTAATGTCACCACTGGTGTTACTACTTACCCAGTTCATAACACTTCCGATGAAGAGGAATTGACTACTGCTACTTACACTTCCACCGACTCTGAAGGTAATGTCACCACTGGTGTTACTACTTACCCAGTTGAGCACACTTCTGATGAAGAGGAATTGACTACTGTTACTTACACTTCCACCGACTCTGAAGGTAATGTCACCACTGGTGTTACTACTTACCCAGTTCATAACACTTCCGATGAAGAGGAATTGACTACTGCTACTTACACTTCCACCGACTCTGAAGGTAATGTCACCACTGGTGTTACTACTTACCCAGTTGAGCACACTTCAGATGAAGAGGAACTAACTACTGCTACTTACACTTCCACCGACTCTGAAGGTAATGTCACCACTGGTGTTACTACTTACCCAGTTGAGCACACTTCCGATGAAGAGGAACTAACTACTGCTACTTACACTTCCACCGACTCTGAAGGTAATGTCACCACTGGTGTTACTACTTACCCAGTTGAGCACACTTCAGATGAAGAGGAACTAACTACTGCTACTTACACTTCCACCGACTCTGAAGGTAATGTCACCACTGGTGTTACTACTTACCCAGTTGAGCACACTTCCGATGAAGAGGAATTGACTACTGCTACTTACACTTCCACCGACTCTGAAGGTAATGTCACCACTGGTGTTACTACTTACCCAGTTGAGCACACTTCAGATGAAGAGGAATTGACTACTGCTACTTACACTTCCACCGACTCTGAAGGTAATGTCACCACTGGTGTTACTACTTACCCAGTTGAGCACACTTCCGATGAAGAGGAACTAACTACTGCAACTTACACTTCCACCGACTCTGAAGGTAATGTCACCACTGGTGTTACTACTTACCCAGTTCATAACACTTCCGATGAAGAGGAATTGACTACTGCTACTTACACTTCCACCGACTCTGAAGGTAATGTCACCACTGGTGTTACTACTTACCCAGTTCATAACACTTCCGATGAAGAGGAATTGACTACTGCTACTTACACTTCCACCGACTCTGAAGGTAATGTCACCACTGGTGTTACTACTTACCCAGTTGAGCACACTTCTGATGAAGAGGAATTGACTACTGCTACTTACACTTCCACCGACTCTGAAGGTAATGTCACCACTGGTGTTACTACTTACCCAGTTGAGCACACTTCTGATGAAGAGGAACTAACTACTGCTACTTACACTTCCACCGACTCTGAAGGTAATGTCACCACTGGTGTTACTACTTACCCAGTTCAGCACACTTCTGATGAAGAGGAACTAACTACTGTTACTTACACTTCCACCGACTCTGAAGGTAATGTCACCACTGGTGTTACTACTTACCCAGTTCATAACACTTCCGATGAAGAGGAATTGACTACTGCTACTTACACTTCCACCGACTCTGAAGGTAATGTCACCACTGGTGTTACTACTTACCCAGTTGAGCACACTTCAGATGAAGAGGAACTAACTACTGCTACTTACACTTCCACCGACTCTGAAGGTAATGTCACCACTGGTGTTACTACTTACCCAGTTGAGCACACTTCCGATGAAGAGGAACTAACTACTGCTACTTACACTTCCACCGACTCTGAAGGTAATGTCACCACTGGTGTTACTACTTACCCAGTTCAGCACACTTCTGATGAAGAGGAATTAACTACTGCTACTTACACTTCCACCGACTCTGAAGGTAATGTCACCACTGGTGTTACTACTTACCCAGTTGAGCACACTTCCGATGAAGAGGAATTGACTACTGCTACTTACACTTCCACCGACTCTGAAGGTAATGTCACCACTGGTGTTACTACTTACCCAGTTGAGCACACTTCAGATGAAGAGGAATTGACTACTGCTACTTACACTTCCACCGACTCTGAAGGTAATGTCACCACTGGTGTTACTACTTACCCAGTTGAGCACACTTCCGATGAAGAGGAACTAACTACTGCAACTTACACTTCCACCGACTCTGAAGGTAATGTCACCACTGGTGTTACTACTTACCCAGTTCATAACACTTCCGATGAAGAGGAATTGACTACTGCTACTTACACTTCCACCGACTCTGAAGGTAATGTCACCACTGGTGTTACTACTTACCCAGTTCAGCACACTTCCGATGAAGAGGAATTGACTACTGCTACTTACACTTCCACCGACTCTGAAGGTAATGTCACCACTGGTGTTACTACTTACCCAGTTCATAACGCTTCTGATGAAGAGGAATTGACTACTGCAACTTACACTTCCACCGACTCTGAAGGTAATGTCACCACTGGTGTTACTACTTACCCAGTTGAGCACACTTCTGATGAAGAGGAATTGACTACTGCTACTTACACTTCCACCGACTCTGAAGGTAATGTCACCACTGGTGTTACTACTTACCCAGTTGAGCACACTTCCGATGAAGAGGAATTGACTACTGTTACTTACACTTCCACCGACTCTGAAGGTAATGTCACCACTGGTGTTACTACTTACCCAGTTCATAACACTTCCGATGAAGAGGAATTGACTACTGCTACTTACACTTCCACCGACTCTGAAGGTAATGTCACCACTGGTGTTACTACTTACCCAGTTCATAACGCTTCTGATGAAGAGGAATTGACTACTGCAACTTACACTTCCACCGACTCTGAAGGTAATGTCACCACTGGTGTTACTACTTACCCAGTTGAGCACACTTCTGATGAAGAGGAATTGATTACTGCTACTTACACTTCCACCGACTCTGAAGGTAATGTCACCACTGGTGTTACTACTTACCCAGTTGAGCACACTTCCGATGAAGAGGAATTGACTACTGCTACTTACACTTCCACCGACTCTGAAGGTAATGTCACCACTGGTGTTACTACTTACCCAGTTGAGCACACTTCCGATGAAGAGGAACTAACTACTGCTACTTACACTTCCACCGACTCTGAAGGTAATGTCACCACTGGTGTTACTACTTACCCAGTTGAGCACACTTCCGATGAAGAGGAACTAACTACTGCTACTTACACTTCCACCGACTCTGAAGGTAATGTCACCACTGGTGTTACTACTTACCCAGTTCAGCACACTTCTGATGAAGAGGAACTAACTACTGCTACTTACACTTCCACCGACTCTGAAGGTAATGTCACCACTGGTGTTACTACTTACCCAGTTGAGCACACTTCAGATGAAGAGGAACTAACTACTGCTACTTACACTTCCACCGACTCTGAAGGTAATGTCACCACTGGTGTTACTACTTACCCAGTTGAGCACACTTCTGATGAAGAGGAATTGACTACTGTTACTTACACTTCCACCGACTCTGAAGGTAATGTCACCACTGGTGTTACTACTTACCCAGTTCATAACACTTCCGATGAAGAGGAATTGACTACTGCTACTTACACTTCCACCGACTCTGAAGGTAATGTCACCACTGGTGTTACTACTTACCCAGTTGAGCACACTTCTGATGAAGAGGAATTGACTACTGCAACTTACACTTCCACCGACTCTGAAGGTAATGTCACCACTGGTGTTACTACTTACCCAGTTGAGCACACTTCAGATGAAGAGGAATTAACTACTGCTACTTACACTTCCACCGACTCTGAAGGTAATGTCACCACTGGTGTTACTACTTACCCAGTTGAGCACACTTCAGATGAAGAGGAACTAACTACTGCTACTTACACTTCCACCGACTCTGAAGGTAATGTCACCACTGGTGTTACTACTTACCCAGTTGAGCACACTTCAGATGAAGAGGAACTAACTACTGCTACTTACACTTCCACCGACTCTGAAGGTAATGTCACCACTGGTGTTACTACTTACACAGTTGAGCACACTTCTGATGAAGAGGAATTGACTACTGCTACTTACACTTCCACCGACTCTGAAGGTAATGTCACCACTGGTGTTACTACTTACCCAGTTGAGCACACTTCCGATGAAGAGGAATTGACTACTGCTACTTACACTTCCACCGACTCTGAAGGTAATGTCACCACTGGTGTTACTACTTACCCAGTTCAGCACACTTCCGATGAAGAGGAATTAACTACTGCTACTTACACTTCCACCGACTCTGAAGGTAATGTCACCACTGGTGTTACTACTTACCCAGTTGAGCACACTTCCGATGAAGAGGAATTGACTACTGCTACTTACACTTCCACCGACTCTGAAGGTAATGTCACCACTGGTGTTACTACTTACCCAGTTGAGCACACTTCCGATGAAGAGGAATTGACTACTGCTACTTACACTTCCACCGACTCTGAAGGTAATGTCACCACTGGTGTTACTACTTACCCAGTTGAGCACACTTCAGATGAAGAGGAATTGACTACTGCTACTTACACTTCCACCGACTCTGAAGGTAATGTCACCACTGGTGTTACTACTTACCCAGTTGAGCACACTTCTGATGAAGAGGAATTGACTACTGTTACTTACACTTCCACCGACTCTGAAGGTAATGTCACCACTGGTGTTACTACTTACCCAGTTCATAACACTTCCGATGAAGAGGAATTGACTACTGCTACTTACACTTCCACCGACTCTGAAGGTAATGTCACCACTGGTGTTACTACTTACCCAGTTGAGCACACTTCTGATGAAGAGGAATTGACTACTGCAACTTACACTTCCACCGACTCTGAAGGTAATGTCACCACTGGTGTTACTACTTACCCAGTTGAGCACACTTCAGATGAAGAGGAATTAACTACTGCTACTTACACTTCCACCGACTCTGAAGGTAATGTCACCACTGGTGTTACTACTTACCCAGTTGAGCACACTTCAGATGAAGAGGAACTAACTACTGCTACTTACACTTCCACCGACTCTGAAGGTAATGTCACCACTGGTGTTACTACTTACCCAGTTGAGCACACTTCAGATGAAGAGGAACTAACTACTGCTACTTACACTTCCACCGACTCTGAAGGTAATGTCACCACTGGTGTTACTACTTACACAGTTGAGCACACTTCTGATGAAGAGGAATTGACTACTGCTACTTAC